CAACTTTGGAGGCAGAGGCAGATAGATCTCTGAATTCAAGGCCAGCTTGGGCTACACACTGAATTCTAGGGGACAGTCAGGACTACAAAGAGAGACCCTGTCTCAAAAACAGAAAAGCAAACAAAAAAGATGGGGTCAGGCCAGGTGGTGGTGGTACACACCTTTGATCCCAGCATTTGGGAGGCAAAAACAGGTGGATCTCAGTGAGTTAGAGAACCCTATCTCAAAAGGGAGCAGAATTTGAGCTGAGGAATTCCTAAAGGTCCCTTAGCAAGTAAAACCTGAAAATGAGCAAGAGTTAACAAAGTAAAGCAGAAAGGAAAAACACCCTAGGCAGAGTAAAGCATAGAAATTAAGGACCTAAAAGGCAGAGTATGTTTGCGACAAAACCCTTGGAGCAGAGGTAAAGAGGAAGTAAGGAAGCACCAATGTCTACCTAGTCAATTTCAGGACCATCAAGGGTAAGGGGTCTGAAGCAGAAAAAGCTATGGTGGCACACACCTTTAATCCCAGCACTTGGGAGGCAGAGGCAGAGGCAAGTGGAGCTCTGTATGTTCAAGGCCAGCCTAGTGTACAAGGGGTAGTTCCAGGAAAGGCTCCAAAGCTACAGAGAAACCCTGTCTCGGGAAAAAAAAAAAAATTGGAAGGACTGGCCTTTTTCGTACACAAGTGGCAAGCCAGGAGACTTTTACTAAGGTAAGAGAGGAAACCAAGGAGAGGTTGTGAGAATGGGACTGTTAGGTTCAAAGAATAAAAGCAACAAGAAGACAAGGTACTTCGTTTTGCTCTGTTATATCCACAGCCCTTGGAAGAACATCAAGCCATAGACAGCACTAGATAATGCTTCAGGAAGGAAATGAATGAACAAGTAAATAAGTTAACGAAATAAAAGGATGAGACCATGAATAATTGCAGGATCTGACTTCTTCAAGAGTCCTACATCCCTCAGGCCTGTGGGAAAACCAGCCCCTCCTTAATCCACCAACCTCCTACCTTTGCCCTAGGGTGCGGTTTGCATAGAAGCCACTAGAGGGCGGAAAGCGGCTGGGTTTCCCACAGGGAGGGCTTTGTGTGAGGCACCGCGAGGGGCGGAGCCTAAGGGCAGGCGCCCAGAGGTCTGACCCTGGAGAATGGAGGACCCAGCTAGGCTGTGGAGTTGGGGCTGTTGCAGTGTTGGCTGGAGCGGTTTGGGAAGTGCACCAGTCAAAGATGGCAGCAGAGCAGCAAGGCACACTGAGAGAGCTCCTGGCAGTGACGGGCGCTGAGGAGGATGGGCCGGTTTCTTTCTGGAGTCACCTTTATTCCATTTCTTAATCCATTTATCTCCTTGAACACACGATTTAGTTCTATGCCACTTCCTGGTGCTCTTTTTCTCCTTAAAATTTTCATTTGTAATTTACCGTGCTCAGCTTGCTCCTTTTCATTATACATCTTTAGAGTTAGCACTAAAAACCACACAACAGAGTTTAAACTGTTTTTGAGATTTCCTTTGTCAACAGAATTAATCCAAAATTCTTCACTTTAGCCTCAGGCAGACTCTTAGGACATGAGGCAGCCACTTTCTTCACCAAAATATCACAAGAACAATCTGTAGGAAACACACTAAAATTCTTCTCTAAAACCTCTTAAGTGATCCCCCTACAGTTCAAATAACTCTTTGCATACTGTCTTCCATGTTCCTACTAGTATGGCCCACTAATCAGTACTTAAACTGAAAGTACCAAAGTCAAAGTTCCTCCAAACAAACACATGGTCCTTCTTCCATGCCCTTATATAGGATTTAAGCAGAAGGTGTGGCCCAAATTAAAGGTGTGTCTTCCTGCTTGGAGACGTAGTTCAAAGGTGTGTTGTCTTCCCACCTCAAGTTTCAGATCACAGGTGTGTCCTCTTACCTCAAAGGTCCAGAATAGAAGCGAATTAATGGCCTTCAGATGAAGCAGACTGTCTCTCACAGGTGTGCCCTCCATATCTGGACTCTAGCTCATTCCATATACCATCAAGATGACAACCAAGATTATCCGTCACAATTTTCTAGGGCCACACTCCTTTCTATTAGTGTTTCCTACAAAGTAATCTGGAGGTGTTGTTTGTACCCCTGGTCTTGCTGATGTCAACCACAGGACAGGAGCAATGGCTTCTTCTCAAGTTACAAAGAGGTGTGAATCTCTTAGCAGCTGATCCATTTGAGTGGCACAGTGGAAGTCTGCATTGTGGTCTATAGTCATCTGCCTATCCACCTCTATACGCTGGTAGCCCACTGGAGAAGAGGGGGTGCTGCCTGCACTCCCCTGCTCTCCCTGAATCCTAGATAGCCTGGGTCGTCAGAGTCTCACTGAACACATCCTGCATCTCAGCTGGAGAGACTGAGGGAGACTTAGCCTGACTTGGCAAGGGACTCTATTTCTGTGTTCCATAAAACATGAGAGTTGGATCTCATCGGGTATTGTATTCCCGTAAGGTTCAAAGCCACAAGTTTGAGGGGCAAAGGAAGGGTTTCTAGGATCACCTAGCAAATCTCTGCTAATTGAAACAAGGAGAACTTCTGGAAGTACTGAGTGTCAAGATCCTGCCTAAACATAGATTCTGAGACCTTGATTGGGGACACTGTTCCTGGTGCTGTGGAAAAGGCTGAGATCCTAGCTACAGATCCCTAGCCTGTGGCCGTAGAGCCTTCAGGTCCCACCAGGCTCCACCTAGCCATTGCTGTCTGATGCTGGACTGCCCCCACCATCTTTCCAGGCCTCAGTCTCCATCTGCAAACACAGTAGCGCCTCGTTGACAGTTTTCACAAACGCTTGTCGAGCCCTCATAGGAGCCTGCAGATAAAGGAATCCATATCTACCTAGGGATCTCTGTCCCAGTGATCACACTTCCTACAGCACACAGGGGCTCCACTTAGAGGCTGCCATAACTTAAATGTGAAGTAGCCAGAAAAGGCTCATTTGTTTAAACTCCTGGTCCCAGGCTGGTGGTATTGTTTGAAAAGACAAGAATCTTCAGAAGGTAGAGCCTTGCTGAAGGAAGTTGGTCACTAGGGCTTGTCCCTGAGCTTTACAACCTGTCACTTTCTTCTGGACACACTCTGATTCCCAGCTGTGGATGCCATGTGACCAGCTGGCCTCCTGCCCAAGATGCTTTCCTTGCAACAATAGAATGTTTATTTCTCCCATAACTGTAAGCCAGAAGAACCTCTTTCTTAAATGATTTCCAGGCAAATATTTTGTTGCATCCATGAGCAAAATAGCTAAAACAGGTGTCTGCAGGTCTCCTAAGTAGACATTCCACAGTTCTGGCATTGCCAGGATCTTAGGGTCTCACCTAAGTCTTCACCTTCCCAGTCTTATGCACAGTCCTCATAGAAACCCACCCCTTACTTCACTAAGCTTCATGTTTTCATATTTTTATGTTTCAGTTTTTGCCCTGAAATATAACCACAGAGCTGGCTAAAAGTAGCAGTTCACAATCGTGTCATTGCCGGAGTGGGGTTGTCCTGAAATTTCCTCTGAGGAATAAGTTAATCCACTACTTTAAAATTTGGCCTCATTCAGATTTTAGTTACATGGACCAAGCACAGTCAGATTCTTCTCTTGATGTAGCATAAATGGCTTCTAGCTCCTTTCTTCATGGCTTCCTTCTTATCCCCTCTGAAACTCTGAAAGCTCAGGTCTTCCCGTCAGCCTCTCTGAACATTTGGATTTTCCCAACTCCCATCCATACAGTGTATAAAACCATTCTTAAAACTCCGCGGCATTTCTCTAGTCCACAGTGCAGACTCTTCTGTGCATCTCTTACAGACATGGCCAGACTTCCCAGGCAAGTGGACCCCCTCGCTGGTACTAATTCTCTGCATTAAGTGTTTTCTAGCCACTGTGGTCAAAGTTTTAACAGAAAGAATTCAATGCAGGAAGGGCTGCTTTGGATTCAGATTCAGAGATATAAGTCTGTCATGGTGGGGAGGATATGGCAGCTGCGGAGGGGAGAGTCTGCTGGGATACCAGTTTTTGTCATGTCTGAGTCACATCTTGACAAATCAGGTAGCAAGAAATGGAACTGGAGAGGCAAATGACTGTGGAGACGGTGCTCAGCAACCCTCTCCAGCTGAGTTGGTCTCAAAGGGCCCAAGTTCTCCAACACAGGTTTGCCAGGAGATGACTCAGTGTTCAAACATTTGAGCCCATGGGGGGCGGGGCAATGCAGATTCAAACCATAGGAACCCTGACACCAAGGACTAGGCCAGTAGTAGGTGCTGTCCCTGAGTTGTAAGGTGGATTATTCACAAATTCTGCCTCCAGAGAACTTGTTCATCTCTTTCATAGGGGAAGTAATATAAGCCATTTCAGAAAGATACAGACCTCCACACTAATTCGCCAATGAAGAGTGTGAGAGCCTTTAACTTTGCCTGGTGACTAGGAGTGAGCTCATTCCTGGGGTCTCCTGGTGCTAAAACTCAGGGGTGGCATTTTAAAGGCGAAACCATGACTCCATAAATGGTAGAGGAGGGTCAGTGTCATCCTAGCTCTGGCCTTGCTCACTATGTGACCCGAATGCCTCTGTGAACCTTAGTTTCTTCCTCTTGCCATCAGGATGCTGTGAAGTATAAAGCCAAAGGTGGAATCAAGAACCCTGTGTGTCCGCAGGATCTCAGGTGTCCCCAGGGAGACCAAGATTCCTGTAGTCTGGATGTGACACTCAGGAACTGAGTAGCAGTGCGAGGGTTAAGTGAGCCTGGAGATAAAGAGGGGTGAAGAGGCCCCCCTCTGGAAGAGACAGGCAGGAAAGGCCACAGCCACCCGCCTGAGCCCGTCTTTCTATGCTCCTGGATCTCACTAGACAGGGTGGTCCTCATTCTGCATCAGTCTCCAGGGTCAGAATGAATCACCACCCAGTTCCGATGTCATACACACACACACACACACACACACACACACACACACACACACACACACACCACCCTGCCAACAACTCCTAATGCAAGTACTGAAGCAAGTCGCAGACCAGGGTGCAGTTAGGGTTTTAATGCTGAGGTGGGAATAGCAAGGGTGGAGAGAACTAGAAGAAGAAGGAAGTCTGGGAGGGTCCTCTAGGTGGGCTCAGGCAGACCTTGTGCAGGTGGTGGTAGCAATTTCTAGAGAGAAATGCCACAGGGGGTCAGACAAAGCCGCTGGAGACTAACCTGGAACAGAAACACAGGGCAACCGCCCATTAGCTGTTACGGCAGCAGCGAGAGCTGGCTGTCACTGGACACTGAGTAGATCCAGGAAGCCTGGCCTAACTATGAACTCACTTCTGAAGTTCCACATGGATTAGTCCTTGGAGAGGATGGGGAAATGTATAGATTTGTGGTCTTGTTCTCTCTCTTGGCCCAGGCCCCTACTCATCCCTTCCTCTGAATGGGAAACGATTGGGTAGAGACCACGCCCACAAAGCCAGGATCCAGATGCAGGCCACGGGCAAGTGTCTGTATCAAAGTTCAGAAAACCCTCCTAGGAAGATAAATCATCTGGTAACAAAGATACCAGATGTGTCTGGGTTCATGATGTGGGTTCAGGTTTGGGGTGAACTCAAAATTACAGTTCAGCCTGGAGTCAGGATCGGGTCTCACTTTCTCTTGTCTTGTGACAGATGCACAGGATCGGGTCTCACTTTCTCTTGTCTTGTGACAGATGCAAACGAGCATAGCCCTGGCTCCTGACAGGCTGCTGTGCACAGGACAGGGTCTGCCTGTGGGTTTGATGAGAACTGCAACCATAAGTCACGTGTTTGAATACTTGGTCCCCAGTGAGATAAACTGTTTGGGAAGTTTAGGAGGTACAGCCTTGTTACAGGAGGTGTGCCACTAGAGATGGGTATTAAGATTTCAAAAGACCATGCCTCTCCTAGTTAGCTCACTCTAACTGGTGACTGTGTCTCTCATGAGCTCTCAGCTGATGCTCCATGCCCCGTGCCTGCTGCTGTGCTCCTCAGCCTGATGGTCGTGAGTCCTAACCCTCTGGGCTTCTGAATCCCAAAACAAACGCTTTCTTTTATAGTTTCCCTTGGTCACGTTGTTTCGTCCCAGCAATAGAAAAGTGACTAGGACACTGCCCATACCAGCAGGAGTGCCATGGCGTCCCTCCTTTGGCTCCTTCCTCTTCAGAGGGAGGCTGGCAGCTGCAGATTAGCTGAAAGAACCAAGTCATGATCAAAACCTCAGTATTTGCCATGGGAAACTGAACAGAGGCCCACCCAACTTGTTACCTCCCGCTGCTCATTCCTCTGTCACTTCTGTGACTTCAAGTGTGTCACTTTTCATCTAAAGTGGGCAATGACAGTGGCCCACTATACAGACTCTCTTGAGGACACAATGAGGTAGCGCACACAAGACACTGACGGGCTGTGTAAAGGGACTGTGTAACCACAAAAGGATCACCTCCAGGTTCTGACACCCTGGGTGCCTGATTCCTGTTTCCCCAGCAACCCTGTCAATCATGGAGCCTCAAAAGAAGCCCCAGTGAGGGAAAGAGAAATGAAAGGCCCAACTTTGTCAGGATGTAAGGTTCCTGGCAGGGCACACCCACAGCTGTTGTCTTAACCCATGGAAGGCACTCCAGTCCCCAAGCTGTGACTTACAGAGGAGGTTTTGAAGAATATTTACATCCAGGCCGCTGATTAATGATTGGAGCAGTGGACATAACTGAGAGGGAGAGAGAAACAGAGAGAAAGAAAAGGGGAGGGAGAAGGAAAACAGATGAGACTTTGCTGGAACACACTGCCCAGCCTCCCCCAGCAGAGGGGCTGATTTCCAGGACCTGAGAACAGTTAACCTTAGCAATCTGGAACTATGGGATTGTATAGCCTGAATCAGAGCTGTCCCAGGCTTCTGAGAACCCCCCACCTCAGAATGTCAGAAGTTCAAGATCTGAAGATCTGCCATCCAGAACCTTTATACCCCAGACTCCTTAAACCTTAACTCTTGAATCTGGAAATTCAAGATCCTCAGAAGGCTTAAGCCTTTGGAGAGCCCCAATTCCCAGTTCCCTGCAGCTTCTCATTCACAGGTGCTTAAATACAGTCATTTAAATGAAAAGTGTGTTGACTACAGGAAAACATTAGCTTAAAGTACACGGGTGGCGCACTCGGGTGGTGCACACAGGTGGTGCATGGATGTGGTAAACAGTTCAAGGCAGCATCTGTGACTTCTGCCTCCTCTCTCTGTAGCCCAACTACTGAGGGTAGAGGAGGTGCCCACTGACCTCCCAAAGAGAACTCAGCACCTCATAGGAGACAGTGTTGAGTACACAGCCACACTCATAGAAACCTCTCCTGCCCCCAGCAGGCCTGGCTCTGGGTACTAAGACCTGGTGACTTACTTGGTTTTGCAGCAGGTTGCTCACTACATTTGTAAGGAGACCAGATACTTCATCCAACAATCTGTTGAGTAAGGCGCTTCGTCTGGAAAAGAAGGGACTTGCAAAGCTTGGTCAAGAGTTCGATATGGCCTAGAGAGTCCTCAGGAGGTCAGATGACACACAACTCTGCTCTGTGGTCTCAGTCCAGCTTGTTGCCCAGTGGCCCATGTCAGGATGAACTGTCACTGAGCATCAGAGCATCTCACGCCTAAATAGCTGCTTCCTCAGGGCCTGGATGCTCTTCCCAGCCCAGACACAGTGTTATTCACTCAGCCTCTACTTACAGAGAACACTGGACTGAACCTTGGGACACTGGGCAATAACCTCCATCATTAACAAGTTTCACTGAGGTTGCCTTTTCTCATCTTCATCTCTCATCCAGCTATTATCTCCTCAGGTTCCTATTACGAGTGTTGACTGAAAGGATGGTTTGCTCCTCTTGTGCCCTGATAAGTATGATGGGCGGTGTAAGGCTCCCCACTAAGGGACCAAATGCTCCCCTGCCTTATTTTCCCTCTGGATGTGTTCTGGGAGACAGAGAAACTGCTTGTTCTCACCAAACTGTTCTCCAGGGCACAGAATAATGCCCACCTAACACTAAGTAGATTTTTGACTACAGTAATGAGAAAATGTGGCCAAGAAGATAGACTAGTCTATAAATTATATCCCTTACAATCATGAGGACCTGAGTTTAATCTCTAGCTGTTGTATAAGAAAGAAGGAAAGAAAGAAAGAAAAAGGAAGGAAGGAAGGAAGGAAGGAAGGAAGGAAGGAAGGAAGGCAGGCAGGCCAGGTGATAGCGAACACATGTGATCCAGAGCGCTGAAGACACAGAAGGGGAGATTCTTCAGCTGGCTTAGCCTACTTGATGAGCTCTAACCACTGACACATGTGCATGGGTGCCCACACACTAACACCCCATTCCCCCAACACAAAATAAGCCAAGAACAAGTCCAGTTAAATATACAGTGTCACACCTGTTCTGATGTCACCAACCTTTGATCCTAATCCTTCAGAGATGGAAGGAGGCAGATCTCTGAGATTGAAGCTAACCAGAGCTGTACAGTGAGACTCTGTCTCAAAATATGTATTCACACACAATGACAACAGGGCCAAGTCCAAGTTCTCTGAAGGTTAAGAGAATATTCTTAGGAGAAAAAGAAGGAATCTGTCAAAGATCCTTTGAAATGAAAAGTGCATTGGGAAAGGAGAAAGGTGTTTTACATAGCCACCACTTCCTTGCAGAGGTCCTAAGGTAGGAAAAAACCTATCTGAGCACACACACACACAAAAAACCCAGTGTGTTTTAAGGAGGGTGTGGGTTGAACCATGTAATGAGAGTCTTCATGGCCATGGGGATTCAGACCCCCTGGAGCAACAATAGTTTCCTGCTGCTGCTTGACCTGGAAGTGTCCAGCAGGAGCCAGGCCTTTGGGTATTCATGCAAAAACTATGGTCTTGTCTTAGAGATCAGAGCTTTGGTAGAGGGACATGGTTATCAAGACTAGGACAGAGGCCATCCCTCTGTTCCTGACCTTGTTCTCCCAGCCCCAGACCTTGACTTCCAGGCCATGTTTCCTCTCTCAGATGGAGTAGCATCACTTTCTCCAATCCCTGCCTAAACCGAACCTACTTTTCCAAATATAAAATTAAAGATGTAAATTTTTTAGGAGCAATAGAAATCAGTGATAGAAAATGACAGGATTAGGATGTCAAGATTCCACTCAAGGGATTTTCCTGAGGGTAGAGATTACTTCAGGACAAGCAGAGACCATGCTAGCATCTAATTTTCCAAATGCCTCCCTCTGGAGGTGGATGGAATGTTAACACGTTCAGAAGCATGAGGAACATTGACCCAGTGGGAAAGTACCGTAGGTAAATGCATGATTATGGCTGGAAAGGTTCATCCTCCTGCCTCAGCAATGGAAAGACATAGTCTATAGACTCAGTGTAGATCTCATGGTACTTGAGAACTTAGAATATTCCAGGCTCTAAGCTAACATGTGCATTTTTCTCATGTCTTCATCCCAGAAGCTGATAAGTATAGATCTCTACTGTTCAGACCCATGGATGTGAAAACGGAGGCTTCAAAAGATGAAGAAGGGACTTACAAAGCTTGGTCAATAGTTTTGACCAATAGCAGGGTATTAGTGCTGATAGCTGTGGCAGAGTTGATACTTGAGGCTGGGCCTATTGTATATTTTACGATGCTACTTCCCAAGTAATAGGAATAGGATTAAAGTCAGAGGTCCTAAAGCCCCCTGAGAGCCTGGCTGGGGTGGATGAGCCTTACCTGCCCAACAAGGAAATGGAGATATTGTCGGTATCACTTAAGCATTCCCCTACGGCCAGGGTGGGAAGGCCAGTTTGGGCATTAGTTTGAAAAGCCAGTGAATTTATGACGTCCAAGGAAACAGCGACATCCACTGTGGAGCCAAGAAGAGGCCTGCAGAAAACAAGAGTGACTCTAGACACAGACAGAGAAGCATTTTCGAGTTTCCCTGGTTTTCGTCTGTCTGTGTGGACACAGTGCAGGGAATGTATGAGCAATGTCAACATTATCTGGATGATGTCAACACGTTACATATTCTCTACAAAATTTTCATGCTTGTTTAGGGTTTCTCTATACCATACTTGTTTAACATGTGTAAGATTTTTCCTTGGCTATGTCTAATAACAAAAATAATTGTTATTATTTTGTAGCACAGATTACCTGTTGGCACTCATTTAAAATACTCTACATGGTTTAATAAAATGGCTTAATCCATTCTACTATTTCAAGACTGCTAGGAGCGAAATCACCCTCTATTTTATCAACAGTTCTGGGCATTGAGAGGTTAAATAACTACCCGGGGATGTCACTGCTCATGGCTTCACAGATGGATCAAATTTACAAAGTACTCCATTATTGGAGAGTTAAGCCAGGGTCACGTGTGCTGGGTATGCGCTCTCTCTAAAGGAAACCCCTAGTCTCTAGAGTTTCTGTTGCACAGGTTCTTCATTGCAATTTTCCTTTACTTCTCCATTTAAATGAAAAAGATTAAAATAATATTACTCTTACCCATTAGTTCTATGGCATATCTGTGATTTCTAGGTTCTTTAAGAGACATGAACTTGAAAATTAATGTTGCAAGTGATTGAGACAAAAACTCATGGTTGATCTCTTGGTCTCCAAAGACACATGTGAGTGCACACGTGAAGCTTCATACACATGAGGATATATGTGCACCACACACGGCAAAGCACATTACATATACATTCTTTTGAAAGAAACATATATACATATACATTCTTTTGAAAGAAGCAATATGGCTTGTTTTCACTAGAATACTTTAAAGGTTGATATTTTAGGCCTCAAATGTTCCTCTCTTTTACAAATTAGGAAACTTGGGCCAAAGGCTACACTGTAGCTGGGATTTAAATGCATACTCAAATCAGCTACATAGCACTCAACCCTGTAAATACAAGGGACACATACTCACAGAAACACAGAGACATTCGCTCTGACAGGCAGCTGCAAGTTAATGGCATTGCCATCAGAAGATGAGGAAGCTTGCACGTCCACGATGTTCAGTTCATTGATCTTCACCCTGCACAAAATCCATACGTGATCTCCTGTCATTCCTCCCTGCAGCCTTGCAACTCTGCCCATCGCCCTCTGGTCATCCCTCCCAGCAGCCCTTGGAACTCTGCCCATCACCCTCCTGTCCTACCACATCCTGGTCACAAGTATGAGCCTCTACACTCTCAGGTGCCGTGGATTGAGCCAGGGAAACAAGAGTCAGCAGAGACAGAACGTCAACCCATAACTGTGTGACTCTAAACTCCACACTGCTTGGGACTAACAGGGTGTGGATTCCGGCTTCCTGTCCCTTGAAGGAACTTGGACTTTTACTTCTGGCTAAATGTGAAGAGGGAAAATGTTATTCTTAGAGAAAGGCTTTAGATACCAAGATGCGGGTGGGGATGGGGACCTTGTCCATGAAATTACAGACTTGTGAAAGCAGACATGTGAATTGTCCAAACTGGCCCTGTAGCCCTATCTCAGATTTACTAAAACTATAACGAGCCTTGCCTTAGAACTCCTCAGCTCTGTGGGGAAGAAGAGGCCTACCCATCTATCTTTCACACTGGACTGGCCTCCCCGAGAGGATTATTCCCTTTTCTGGCAGCAAAGTAGCAGCAGCTTACTGTAAACCAAGGAGGTCCAGTGTTTTCAAAGATCCTAGAATGTTGTCCTTGATTGATTGCAAATTCAAGGCTTCTTGAAGAGAAGCAAGATCTAGGTTTAGGTCTTGAAGGACATCTGTAAGAAAACATTATCCATCAGTGCCTGCGCCACTAGGGAGTGAGCTCCCATCCTCCTGGTCTCAGGGAAGTCAGTTTCTCTGTGCTGTGTCATCCACTTTTGGCAACAGCTCAGTGAGAAAGGATTGCCACCAGCTCCATTGCACAAAAGAGGAAGCCGAGACTCCTAAGGTTGGGAATTGTGTCCACACGGTTTCCAGGAAGACTTTGTACTAATATATGCTGAGCATTTCCCAACAAAACAATCGATCAGTTGAAGTTGATTGTGTATACCTGTTTTCAGGGATGACCTGAAGATCTGTCCCTCTTACTGAGATACTCACATGGGTTTGAAAAACCTAGTCAAGCAATTAAGAGAACAAACTAAGAAATGGAAAAATCTCAGACAAAGAAAAACACAGAGGGAAAGTACTGCTCCAAACTGCAGTGAATGCCTGAAATAGGGGCCCCACAATGACAACGTGGGGTCCGTCCTAGAAAAGAGTAATTGACATCGGAGCAGGAGAGCGGAGTGTCCCAAAAGGAGATCTCAGAGGAGAACCAGGGGATGAAACGCACAAATGCCCTGTGCCAGGTGGCACGTGTGCAGAACTAAGGATGTAGGAGTAGAAAATATCTCTCCTATGAAATACAGCAACTGGTGAGTTCCCGATAGAACATCCCCATTGTCTCAGTGTGTGGGTGCCCCCCTCGCGGTCCTGAGTTCCTTGCTCGTGCTCTCTCTCCTTCTGCTCCTGATTTGGACCTTGAGATTTCAGTCCGGTGCTCCAATGTGGGTCTCTGTCTCTGTCTCCTTTCATCGCCTGATGAAGGTTAATATTCAGGAGGATGCCTATATGTTTTTCTTTGGGTTCTCCTTCTTATTTAGCTTCTCTAAGAACCCGAATTATAGGCTCAATGTCCTTTATTTATGGCTAGATGGAGGTGGGTGGTCCTTGGACTTCCCACAGGGCAGGGAACCCTGATTGCTCTTTAGGCTGACGAGGGAGGGGGACTTGATTGGGGGAGGGGGAAGAAAAGGGGAGGCGGTGGTGGGGAAGAGACAGAAATCTTAAATAAATAAATAAATAAATAAATAAATACTAAAAAAAAAGAAAACGCTGCGTGAATAGGAAAAAAAAAAAAAGAAATACAGCAACTGCTACCTCAGGGACAAAAAAAGGGAAACTGCAGCAAAGGAGCCATGATTTAACATGATGTTTGAGAATTTTGATCGAAACTCAGTTGTGCCTGCTGTTTTCTCCACCATTCTGTAATCCCTTTCATTTCACGTGCTTGTCAGAAGGTTTGGCTTAGAATTGTGACAGCGCGTGTGCTTTGCTCTGGTTGTGTAGCGGGGTTTCAGCTCATCCTCTGGTGGTGGCTGCTGAACTCATACACCTGTGAGGACTAACTAGTACTTGTTTCGGTGCTGAATATCTTTAAGTAACGGTGAAAGATTTCACTTGTTGCTTTAAGGCTGTTTGTGATATATATGTATGGACATAATTTTAAAAAAAACATTTAAGTATGAGCATATACAGTCTGCGTTTTCAGTGCAGTGGCGAGACTGGAGAGGCTGGTCAGCAGTTAGGAGTGCTTGCTGCACTTGGGCAAGACTAGAGTTCATTTCCCACCACACTTGTTGGATGACTCATAACTATCTGTAACTCCAGGGGATCTGACACCCTCTTCTGGCTTCTGGGGGACACACAGATACATAGATACATATGCATAAATAAAAATAAAGTATTAAAAACACTTTCAATCAAATAGATGTCATCACAGTACTGCAGCTTGGCTCTGTGGCAGACAGACTCTACCTGATATAATGACGCAGACTCTAAAATTGCAGCTGGCATTGCTTAGCGAGCTCCGTCCAGCCACACAACTCCCTAGTAACCTGGCCCTAACACCCTTTTCTCTCTGCTACAGCTCCCCAGCTCGGGGATGAGAGGATGGCTCCTTTCTTTATATTTGAAAGGCTGAAGGCAACATGTGCAGAGCTTTCCTGTTCCTCTAAGAACTGTTTGTCAGGGAGCCCTGTCCTTCTAAGTCAGAGAACAGAGGTGCCATTCACTAGACAATGGGGACCTTATGGACACCTTGGTGATAACCGTCATTTCCAGCCAGTCAACACAGACCACTAAGAAAAGCCGAAGAACTACAAAAACATATGTTAACAGCTTTGACAGAACACTTTCGTTAAATTATGTAAAGCAGCAGTAAAGATGTGAAAAACGAGAGTAGCGTTGGGATTAGAGAAACACAAAGTGAAATGAGTCACGTGCTCTCATGTCTGATAATCCAAAGCAGTTAAAGGTGTCCACATTGGTGCTTTCAGTGAAGCAGTGGGGTGGGTTGTGGGTGCCTCCACAGACTGCTAGAGACAGTGGACAGCGGAATACTTGTCAACAGCGACCATAATTTAAAATGCAAACTTCTTAAAATTTTGAAATCTCACTTTGATGGATTTATCCGGTGCGTACAGTGTCGAGACACGATTAGGATATGACATTATAGCACCATTTATTTCTAAAAGGAAAAGTGGGTGAGGAAGGAATTGAATGGCTGCACATTTCTCAGTGAGCCGGCCAAACAGGATAGCACCACCCCTCCCAGCAGCCCCTGAAGGTTTAGTGATTAATTTGTTCCTCCTGGGATCAGTCATCTAATAGCGCATTGATTGACTCATTTTCAGGACTCAAATTCAGCATTCAAAATTATTCAGGGCACTGGCAATATTACCTGAAAGTGAGGCTGAGGTCCCAGAGAGCAGGCCACACAAGACAATGAGGCTCCCAAGTTGGAACATCTTCGGTCCTGATACCTACCTGGTCATAGGAGGAAGAAGAAAAAACCAGAACCCACAGTGGACATCTGTCACCCTCACACTTGACCTTCCTACAAGACAGATGTGCTTCTGCTCACAATAGGTAAGAAATGGAACCGACAGAGACACCAACCTTCAGGAGTGGAAAAAGGAAGTGGGGCCAAGTGCACACGGGGATTTTCTTCAGTCCAGAGAGAAAATTGAAATCATGAAATTTCCGGAAATGGGTGGAAGTGGAGACATAACTACGTACAGTTATGACTGAGGGGGAAAGTTGACTTGTTCTAGAGATGATCAGACAAGGTCAGAAAGGGAGAGAAACTTCCAAGACACAGCCAGGATGCTGTGGGGTGAGACTTGGAAAGTCAAGCTGACCTCATGTTCTGCGTGCTCAGTTTCTTTGTTCTTGCTGCCTTCTCGGCTCGAGGCATATTTCCTCTGTACTTTGTGACCTAAATTTGTTGTCTTCGTCCAATGAAACTTCAAACCTTCCTTAATGGGAATTTGAGACCCCTCCCTGAAAATAGTTCAAGGCTCCCACTACCTGGTTCCACCAAGCTTGAGGCAACACTGTCCTTTGGGAAATGGCTATGACTTTTGTCACTGTTGAGTCTAGACTCCAGGTAGGAGCCCTTATCCATAAACTGAGAAAAGTCACTGAAGAATAAAATCTGAACAGACAACAGAACCCACGTGAACCTAGGTTGTCATTATTCTGACACAATATTATCTATATCTTCAAATTTGTTAGAGTCCAACTTCCCTAACACACAGCACCTTCCCTCTGCCTTATACCCCAAAGCCTCCTGAAGACCCTCATATGGAGGCACACCGGGAGAACCCCTACTCACTGGTTTGGAGAAGGATGCACAGGTCTCTGCACAGTCTCCTTGGTTGCTAGGGGTGAGAGTGGCCCTTATATTGTGGTAAGAGAATGAGAAGCAAGTCCTGGTTACAGGACATTCTAAGGAAACTCCAAAGAAAATACCTAAATTTAGCCAAGATTTTCCAACCCAAAGGTCACCCCGGACACTTGAGTGGCAGTGATGGATGGAACGGAACTTCTGCTTAGATAAGGCTCTGAGTTGTGGAACCCAAGGCTGCCAAGAAGTTGTCAGTTTTGTATTGGCATGGAAGATGACCTAGAATAGATCAATGGAAGAAGGTTCTATTGGGAAGGCTCCTGGTGTGTGCCTACACTAACCCATTTAGCTCTTTGAAAACTCAGAGAGGGAAAGCGACCAGCTTGAGGTCATGGAAGACATAGGTAGAACTGTGGTTCTCAGGTAGCTCTGTCCAACCTTTCTGTTCTCCTGCCCTGTGTTTGAGTGCCATAATCATCTCTCCTGGGCGGAGCCCACTGTGAGTGGGACAATAATGACGTCACCCTGCCATCTCACTAACTCAAACAGCTGTATTTTGAAGTCGCTTTCTATTTGATTTTGTTTAGTTCTCCCCGCAAAGACTGTTGTTTCTCAGAGTAGAAAATTCCTACAAACCTACAAATAAAAGGAGGAAAATAAGTGGGTTCATGGCCACCATGCTGCCCCCGGGGAGTCTTTCTTCTTTATGGAGCCAGCAAGGATGGTTGAATGATTGACATCCTTCCTACCTTGATAGCAGCCATATTTATAGTTTGACTGTGTGACCTACATGTGTCCACTGTGCAGAAGGCAGATGGTGTGTGAACTCACAAGCCAGTGTGGTTGTGGGCCAAGAGGGAGGAATTCAGCTCCCCTAGTTTAAGAGACTATACCAAAGATGCTAAGGAGAATTGGGATTGGAGTTTTCTGACTCATAGTTCCCATGTGTTTTAGGGTTTCTGGATTCTAGTCCTCAAATGTTGGCTTTTTTTTTTTTTTTTAAAAAAATCCTTAATTTCTTAAAGAAGAACCAATTTCTTTATTGGCTTCATTCTGGTAGACCTCACCAGATCATTGTAACTGGCATGTTATGCAGGAAGACAGACAAAGGTGTACTGTGAAAAGACCTCCTACACGGGTGGAGAAGTAGTCTATTGTCATCAGTGAGAATCTGGAACAGTTTTTGACGTGGAATCCATGCTTTAGGGTGAAAATTGGTGTTTTCTTCTTGCTAACCCATGTCTCTTCTTGAATCAGCAAGGCAGGTCAGTCTGAGGGCCGAAATGACACCTGTTTTCTCTCCGGAACCCGCAGAACGGTGGAATTAGGAAATGACTTCTGACAGTTATCTTATGACCTCAACAGATGCACGGTCACACCTGTTTCTGCACTCACACATGAGCGTCATACACATGCCGACACAAAACAATAAATAGAAACAAACAAACCTCGAAGACTCATGCTTCTTAGGTTTAGTAGATTATGGGCTGTGACCAAAGTTGGTGTCAGTGACAGAGACAGCCGGACAATAGGACTCATGGGCGACCTCCAGCTCATGTTTGTTGAGCTGACCACACTCTGAATTTCAATCTACCTCCAAGCCCTGTGGCTCGTGTGCCCAGCGCTTCCCAGTGTGGACTGCAGAAGCACAAGCCTCTATGAGCAGATGACTGGCAATGACGCCTGAGCTTTATTTGCCGCCAAGAACTGTACTGCCAACTTGTTCTGTTTCCCGTTGACCTTGGAAAGAGGTTCAGACCGGAGGAGGCTCTGCTGAGATGATTAGGCAGGATCTATACCCTGCCTGAGCACAGGAGCAGCTGTTCCCGAACATAGCCTCCGGGGGAAAAAAAAAAAAAAAAAAAAACAACCAAAGGAAAGAAAAAAAAATAAAAAAAACCTGGGCTTCAGGGTAGAGACGCTACACGTCAGGAAGTTAGTTTGAAAGTTTCATTTTCCTGTCAGTGGGTGGAAGACGTTTCTGAGGCGATTGTTCCCAAGGTCACACAGAGGTGTGTCTGGGTCCTTCCAACTACATCAGGTTGAGGCCAGCTGGCACGGCAGGACAGTTCCTATGGTTGTTAATCCTATTTCCTGTTTTCCACAGGCCCCGTTGTTTGAATTGGTCGCCACACTCTGGGCCCAGACCAAGCTGGAACAACACAGAAACAGGTGGGACCGCACCCTTGGGCTACAGGGCAACTCCGGCTGGGCCACAGCAACAGAGCAAGCCCCGAGAGCCTGTACTTAAACTCAGGTGCCTTCTGGAAGCTCGGGTAGCCAGAGCCTGCTGTGGCCTTGTCAAAGCTTGCTTCTGTGTGCAGACCCTTTTCCTGGCTGCCTGCCACCATGGTTCACAAACCCTTGAAAACCTTGTTTCCAGCTACGGGGTACAGAGTGGGCCAAGGGCCATGATGGAACTTCATTAAGAGAGGAACACAACCTGGGGATGCTGGAGTTGGAGCTGTGACCTCAGGCCTGTTGCTGGGCCAGACCAGAGTTGTCTCAGTTGTTACACAGGTGAACAACTTGTGCCTGGATCTCCTTGGTAAGAAAGGCAGGGAAGTTCCTGGGGCTCATGAGGATGAGGAGGAGGGGACTTGCAGTGGTCTCGTCAGAGCCTGTCACTGGAACTGGGGGGGACCTGGGTTCACATCCTCACTCTTCCCTCTGCTGACTCATGACCTGGGATGGGGCTTCTTCCTTCTCTGTGAAGTGGGACTGGAAACTGCACCTCACCTCCCTGCTCCCCACGTACAGAGAAAACGTGTGGTAAACACATGTAAAGGTCCTCACTCTGGGCAGGTTGTGCACATGGCTGACAGTAATGTCTGCAGTTATATTACACAGCATGCACAAAGGGCTCTTGTAGTGCAGGGATTGGCTGTCAGGCCATCCAGGTCTGTGCTGGCTCCTCCGAGTCACCTTGGAAAGAGCATCTTTCACCTTGGAAAGGGCATCCACCTCTGCATACAGAGAGTCTCTTGGAATGTAAAGTACTTGTCTGTCACGGTCAAAGACTGGGCCACAAAGGTCGTGGGATGAGTGTCTCACGCAGAGTCTCCAGGGAAGCATTGTCTGTCCCACACTAAGACTTCATACCCCAACATGACCGCTAATCCTAGGCATGACAGCTTCCTAGTCCCACTGACCCCAACGCTTAAGCAATGAGCTTGTATTTGTTCCCAATCACCACTCAGCCCCATCTTTGGGCAAGGCTATTGAGACCAGAGAGGCCAAGCAATATGGTTGGGGGTCATATAGAAACCAGGTTTAGATGCAGGTTAGAGGCTCTGCTCCCTAGAATTCCCTTACCCATAAGGCCCCAGGTCCTATTCACAGACAAGACAGCATGAACCAGCCTGAATCACCAGCCATCAATGCAATGTCTTTTGCAATATTGCAACTTTTCTTGTGCCAAGATACAACCAAGCTGTGATGTTTTTTGAAAGAGAGAGAAAGAGAGAGCACACACGAGAGTGAAAGACAGACAGACAGACACGCACGGGGTGGGGGTGGGGAGAGAGAGAGAGAGAGAGAGAGAGAGAGAGAGAGAATATCTATTCCCTTTACCAACAACGGGGTCTTTGCATATTAGAAAAGCAAAAAAATGATATGTTCAAGCACCATCATTTTATCACAGCTGAAAGAAACAGTGAACTCTATTTCAGCAATGTTGACATTTTTAGGCGACTTGTTATTTGTTTACCTATAATAATGTCCCTTGGGCAAAGAGCACTTATTACTGTGCAGAGCACCATGATTTGATTCCCAAACCCAAATAGCATCTCACAATTGCCACTAGTTAGGATCCTAGGGAATTCAAACCTTCCTCTGACCTCCTCAGAGAACTGCACACACATGATGCACATAAACTCATGCAAGCAAAGACACTTACACACAAAATAAATAAATCATAAAAGCAAAAAAATGAAACATTGCTCTAAGTCTTGGTCTCGAATCTGGGTTAAACAGAACCCTTCAGGCCTTGGTCTGGGAGATGGTAACTAAAAAAGGGTCTTGCCCACACTTGACTGGTATTTGCTTCCTCTTGTTCAGTGGAATGTTCCCTGAGAAATTGCTGAAAGATTTAAAGAAACCAGAAAGTTGACCTCGAAAGACTTCTTAGATGGGTCTGTGTTCTCTGAGCTGCTGGATGTCTGAGTGTCTTACTTTTTCATCTTTGTCTCTAAAGCTGGCACCTGAGCTGCAGTGGGGGACAAGTGTTTGTGGAGGCGGGGAATTTTCTTTGGGTCTTGCCAGCTGTGGGGAACTGGGCAGGACATAAACCCCAACAAGCAGACCCTCATGTAACAAAGCATTGTTAGTTTTATAAGTTAGTTTAGATTGAAGGGCTACACTGTTTGATGAGCTATCATCTCTTCTAAACAAGAGGTCTCTCTT